CTGAAGATATCCATAGTTGAAGTCCTTGTCTTGCAGATATGGTACAAATTGTTTAAAAAAGCAATTCATAAGCCTTACTTGGCTTTAAATTTTTTTCGTTTTTACTAGAACCTGACAGAACAATTTCCTTCCTTGCCTAGATCCTTAATTATACAAGATAATAAACGAAACCAGTTGGATTAATCTCAGCCCAGAAAAGACTTGGTAAATGCTGATTGGAAAGGGAGAAATCTTTATTTTGCTAGGTTTGTTGTTACTGAATGTGTGAGGTTTTCAGTGCCATCAGCAGTGCTGCTACAGTCCTCTCCTCATCATTTCCTAGAGAAAAGGGTAGATCTATAGAAAAGGCTACTATTTTTAGCTGCTTCAGCACTCATGGATTTTTTTCTGTCTGGTATAGACATGGCTGCTGTCATCCATGCTATAACCTCCAGGCTGCATTCTTGCAATATATTTTTTTTATATGCACCCATGAAAACCTCTTGGAACTTGATTTACTTGAAGACAAGTGTTGTTTGAAAATGACAACACTTTTTTTTTTATTTGCAAATAGCTGTCATGTCAACCCAAAGCTTTTTTGCAAAAATGCATATCCTCACTTTTGAAATGTCTTTTCTCTCTGTCACACTCTAAAGTTTTAGAATTAAATATTGAGATCTTATGTTGCTAACAATTACATATTGTGGAGGCTACAGGATAGATCACTCCTCGAGCCCCAGTAGACATGGTGTTCTTTTTCCTTTTTATTTTTTTTTTACTTTTCTTTCCTAATACTTTTTAAAAATAGGTGAAATTTAAACTGGAATCTTCTGAGGGCTTTGAAGAAGATGGATGTTGGTGACCTGCTGTTTTCATTTATTTTAATTTTTATTAAGATAAACTGAATAGGGTTTTTTTTGAGAGATGAAATACTGTTTATACATACCTTTGCAATGATCCATTACAATTCCTAAGTTAGTTTGGGTAGAAGAAGCTTAAATTAATCCTCTTTAATTTCATCCTCTGTTGCTATTATCTCTTCTCCCTCACTGAGAGTTATTAGTGTAGATAATCGGCTGAAAAACTGAAACCTTCGTTTGGCTTCTTTCAGTAGAATTGGGAACTTCAGCTTTTGGCTTTCAGAATAGCTGTTTGGTAGCATTAGAAATTTGAATTTGCAAACATAGAGGATACCTTGCATGATTTTTGAAGCTGAAAGAAGAAGATATTATTAGAGACGGTGTTTCCATTGAGTTGAAGGCATTCCTCTCAGTTGCAGAGGGCAGGAGGAGTCAAGGTTGTTCTTTTAAGTCACCTTCAAGTGCTAGCTCATTTTAAGCAAAAGTTAACTCTTTCTAAAACTGGGTTGTCCTTTGGTTATGGAGGTAATTGCACACACACATTCCTAGCATGGGTAGAGGTTTTTGTCTGCTTGCTTATGTGATTTAGATTGCTATCAAGATCAATACAATATTGACTCAACTGCCTTGGTTCTCTTCCTAATGCAAACTGTGACATATTGGCTTTTCACTCTTTGACTGTAGTAATGTTGCCATTCAGAAATATATAATGTTACGCAAGATGTAATATGTTAACTTGCTTTTGGAAATCATTCATATTAATTTTACTCTAATTATAGATAAAATTTCTAGAATAATGATCAGAGCAGATTAAAATGTTCTGAATTTTCACAATTGAGTATGAAGTCCTATACTTTTTTATGGTAACTATTGAATTCCTATTTTTTTAAAGTGTGCTTTAGAGCGCTGATTGCAAAGGTGAAAAATGGACCACTTTTAGATAATTTGATCTAAATTGGACATTATCTGTAGCAGTATGTACAGCTGGTAATTCCAAACCCTCAACATTTGCTTGCAATATAAACTTACTGGCTCTTTAAAAGTGTTCATTCACACAAAACATATGGGCTTAGCTAGAATACCATTATCTAACAAGTGTGTGTGTGTGCATATAGTATGAAAACCAAGTAAGCATTTTGTCAGTGTACTTTGTTCATAGACTTTTTTTTTTTTCCTAAATGCATGTTTAGCTATGCAGGTGAACTACAGTGTCTTCCTCAGGGCATTTTTCACAAAAAAGGAGTGAAATATTTTCTAGGTTATGGTTGCTGTGTTCCTTAGCAGACAGTAGGGTGTTACAGCAGATGAGCCTTGGGGATATCTGTGTCTTTATTTGAACTGTTCTTGCTGTGGCCAAGAAGAACATGAGTTTTCATCTGTATTCATGTGGATCTGTGTTGTTTCTTTTTCATAAACGGCTGAAATGCTAGAACAAAGCAGTGTAGTGTACCAACCATTGCTTTTTCATAATTAAGACTAAAAGCATGAAATTCCGAAACAACTGGACTCACTATAATGAACAGAGTATATTTATAGAGATGCTTGTTAGTCACGTGCTGTAAATGAGAACACTTGAGAAATCTGAATCATATCTGAAATTTCACAGTGAACCAGAAACTGGTGCTATATTCTGCCAGGCCAGCAGTCAGAGCACAGGGAGCCCCAGGCTGAGGTGCTCTTGACCTTACAAAAACCTTCACCTGCATAAAGTGTCGCAGGTGTGCGTTAAGCAATGTATTATGTTGCAGTGAAGCTACCGTAGACATGATTTCAAAAGAGTGATGATGCAAGCTTTTCCTGCCTGTGGCCCCCAAAGGTGGGAGTTCAGTATATCTAATGACATCTGAACCATTTAATGTACCGCTTAAACCTGCCTTTTCTCTGCCTGGATTCTCATATGAAACCTGAGTGCAAATGCTTTATTGAGGAGCCAAAAATATGTTCACCGCTGAGAAATTCTGATCTTAACCCGTCACTGGAGGACACTGAAGTGCCTTCACACTGCAGAGCAGGAACAAAAACCCTCCCTCTGCTCCTGTAGCACTGAAGCTTACCCAGCAACTTTGACAGAAGCCATTTACATAATACACCCACAGACCAGCACTGCTTAGGCAGATTCAAGCTGCAGTACTTATTCAGCAAGTTGTAGGGCTTTATATTATATTTTATTATTGTGTTATGTGATTATAATATTAATATTCTAATAATATTACATTAATATTTACATTATACTTGAAGTAATTTTTTTTCAAGCTGAGGGCATGTTTGTCTATACTAGTTTCAAAAACCTATGGGGGTTTGGTCATTAATAGCTGGCTTTTTAACAGTCAACTGATTAGGGGATATTTTACTTCCATTTAATTTTCAGAGTATTTATGTGAAGAGTTTCTTGTCTTCAGTGAGTTAAACGAGGACTGTTTTTGCTGCTCTGACCACTGCCATATGAAACCAGTTAAAATGCTGGAATTGTTTACTGCCTAAATTGTTGTTAGTCAGCAGAGCCAGATTTCTTTGCAGCTTTTAGTGGAAAATGTTAAACAGTCGCTCTTTCTTCAGTTATAGGATTTTTATGTTTTCAGCTCCGTTAGTCACAGAGCTGGCACAGACGTAACTGCAAAGACTGCCCCCAAAAAAAGAGACGCTTTTTTTTTTTCCCCTTTCTCTTTTTTTTTCGGTGCCAGAGGAAGTTGCAGTGGCGGGGTTCTCTGGTAAGTGTGACATGTGAGCATTACTAGGCATTTCATCCTGCCAGGCTGCAGTCGCCAGGCTGCTGCTCAGTGGGAACGCTGCTGTCGTGGTGGTGGTTTGTGCTCTGCTCCTGCCGGCTTTTAATGACCACCTCGGACAAGTAGGCTTTTTTTTTTTTTTTAAGCTTTGCAAGGTTATCTGCTGGTTGTATAACTTAATTTGCTGAGGGGAAAAAGCTGATGGGCAGAAGCCGTAACTGAAGAGGAGAATCAGATTGGCACAGTGACAGATGTTCGGATAAAGAAGTTGGCTCAGAGAAGATGTACGGAGTCTGATTTTTTTTTTAAATTTTTTTTTTTTTCCTCTCCCCCTCAATCTGAATGAAGACTATCATGGGAACTGCATTCACATGGTGATCAAAAGAAACACTTGAGTGATGAACTGCTTTTGCAGAAGAAGTCTCAGGCGGTAATTTGAGCTTTTGTGCGCAGTAGCTAGCTTGTTTTGCTGAAGCATTCCTCCTCAACAGCATTTCTGCCTGATGTGCTCCCTGATGGAGGAGCCCCAGCTACTGCCCGGTGGAGGAAAAATGAACGCTCAGCATCGCTCGTGTCCCTGACGGAGTAACCTCATCTACGCTGCTGTCGTTTCAGGAGGCTGGATTCAGTATTATTCAAGGAGTTCATTGTCCCTGTGGTCTGACTCATCGCATGTAGATGCACTGCAGCCGTGCTGTACATTGCAGATATTTCGCTCGCATGGGAAAGAATAATTTTCCTCTGAGCAGGTCCTGAATAACTGTTGGAAACGGGATGCGTTTTTCTGGCCGGGCTGTTTTTGACATTGAGAAGGGAAGCTGCAGAATGGCAGGATGATCAGAAGGCGCGTTTATTTTCAGTCACCAGCGAGCCTGTGACGGTTGATTTAAGACTGACCTTGCAGGAGTGTGAATTGCTGTGGCCGTCTCTCTCGGGGCAATTGTTCCTTGTTTGGCCCTCGCTAGGATGGGGTCGGGTCTTCTGCAACAATGATTTCACTGTGGGGGTAGGAGGACGCTGTGGAAGTTGGGACATTAACAAAGGCAAATTTGCTTGTGAAAGGACAGCTGTGTGCAGCAGCGAGTGCTGTTTGCATGGGACTGGATCTTGGGGTATTTTTATCAGCCATTCCACAGTTTCCTTATTGTGGTTTTGATGCCTGGGGAAATTCTGTTTTTACAAGAACCACTTTTTTTTCAGCATTGTCTTTGAACATCTCAGGGTGTTTAAATCTGAAAAATGAAGTGTAGAGGGGGATTGCAATGTCCTTTTTTAAATGCTAATACACCAGCACTAGCATTGACAAGTTTGTGAGGGCACGTGAAACAGGTGAAAGTATTTCCTCTATGGTCCCTGCTGCAATACCTGCGGTCTGGTTCCCAAAATAGTGTTGCTGTCATTTTTTTGTTTGCTTTTGGTTCCTTAAACGGATCGAATGAGTCGAGTCTGTATTGTTGTTTTGGAGGAGGTGGAAGATGATTCTCCCACATTTATTTCCAATTTACCTCAGGAAAATGTATCTTTGCGTCCATCACCCTCTGGAAACGTGCTGGTAAGGCATGTCATTTGTTGGCGTATTTCCTGCTTATAATACTGTTGCAAATACCAATAGTAATTTTTGTAAGATTAACTTGAATATGCGTGAAGTTGAAACAAGACAAGGTGGTAAAATCTGCTGGTCCTAAAGAGGGAAGAAGCTGAAACTTAGTTGTAGCATTAATATTTGCAAATGAGCATTCTTTTCCATGTAACTTTATTTATGGTGCAGCAATAATACATCTTAACTCTTGTATAATAGCAGAGGATTTTTAGAGGGCTTGGTAAACTGTATTTGAAGTAAATTGTTCTTCCCTGCTCCACTCCTCATTCCTCAATGATACATTCATGCACTACCACTTTAGAAACTGATGTAATCATTGTATTGCAATAATATGTTGTGTTTATTTTGAGAACTGATAGACTGTATAGTGTACATCAAGCAAGAGCAATTCTAGGCTAAAATAAAAAAATAGCATGTCATAATCTTGATGTAACTGTTAGATTCCAGTTCCCACTTTCTGGAAATGATCAACACTGGAGACTGTGCTTTTATTCCTTTAAATTATTTTGTCAAGTGACTGACTTAAATCTTGCTAGATTACCTCAGCAGCTTTTCTTACTTACTAAGAAATCCTGCTATATTTAGTAATAGATGTGTGTGAGTGTGAATTTGTTACCATAGTTATCTGATGCGCTTTGCTTTCCCACTCTATCTAAACAGGTGAAAAACTTCTAGTAACTTTAGACACTTTCTAGTATAAAAGGGGTTTGTTTGCTTATACTATATAGAATTTGTAGCACGTAACAGCCCTAATTTTATTATGATTAATTCTCTTTTCAGCTGTTATAAACTAGTTTTCTGGACCCCTCCCCCTCCTTTTTTTTTTTTACATATTTCATTGAGTTGGAGTATTTTTGTGTGTTTGAGGTTTTTAAAACCTAACATTTCTTTAATTCTCAATACTGTTGCTGGTTTCTTTATTTCACTGCCTGGGATTTTCTATTCTGTCACAATCTTGTGTTTGTGTTATGTATCAAAAAACTGTATGTGTATCACTAAAAACTAGAATATTATATTCTAATATGTGGGTTTTTTTCTTTATTTCAGCCACCATTGGTTCAAGCTATATTTAATGGAGATCCTGATGAAGTTCGAGCACTGATATTTAAGAAAGAAGATGTTAATTTTCAGGTAAAAACAAACATCATTAGCTTTGAATACATTTTAATTTTGTTTTGATATAGCTTTCTGCTGTACTAATCACTTTAAAAATGGGCTAATTCGTGAGCTATACATTTTCTTGCTTTATGTAATAGACAAAGTAAAGCCTATACATACACTTGATACTGGGGAAGAGGAGTGTAGCTTTGTAGATTTCTTTTGATAGTAAAGACCTAAGTCTACATTCCTGTTAAATGTTAGCTCCACAGTGGGTAACTGAAAAGTTTGTTTATACAATCCCATCAGACTTTTTAGAAAGTTAAGACTGGTTAAGTGTGATGCTATGTAGACTTTGACTGTTTAAATTAAATACATATAGTATGTATTAGACAACTGCAAGAAAATAGTCTAGGATTTCAGTAGGTAGGTTTCATAGTGGATTTTAAAAGGGGAAGCCTAATGATTATATTAATTAGTAAAAATGAGAAATTGTGTTTATATGTCCTATTTGCAGTGCAGCAAACCCAGACACTGCAGGCTTAAAAATTGTACTGAAATGAAATTGAGGTTGTTCCATTGGGTTAAATTCAAGATTTGAATAACATGCAGTTACTGTATTTGTTTTTAATTAAAATTCTAATATACATGTTTGACACTATGCAAGATAACATACCATAAATTCTTCACATCGATTAGAAGTTGTTTTTATTATTAAAGCAGACTGACATAAACCATGTAGGGTTTAATGCTATGGGAATGTATGTGGCTCTTTCTCCTCCAAATGCATCAGAACAAGAGTGATGCTGAAAAGCAAAGACTGACATCTAGATGCTACATAGTGGCCAATGTAAGACCATGATAACTGTTTACACTTTCTTCTTGAAAGATGTAAACCAAAAGCAAATATTTAGTTTGGTATGTGTATTTTGACACGTAAAAGCATTCTGCGGAATTTATATCTGATCAATGCCAGCTCAAGTGTAAGGGAAGCCCTCCCCCTGTCTTGAAGAGCTTAAGTAGGACCATGTGTAGGTAAACTGCTGTCAAATCTAAACTTCTGTTTGATAAGGTTGGACTTTTTTCCTCTCCTTTTTCAGTAATTTTACATGTTCTTAAGCAAGATTGTATGATGGATTATATATTATTAAAAGACTTAATTAGCTGTGTATTCTTCCAGTCTCTTCATATTTACACTCTGGTCACATTGCTGTTTTTGTTTTGAAAAGCTTATTAATCTGCATTGTTTCATTTATATTCCTCCATATGTAAGTCAGGTTTAGCATTCATAGCTTGTAAACAAAGTTAGGTTAGTGTTTTTCTGCTTTTTTCAATTATCTATTGCAAAATCCTCTGCTAGATTTCAGTATGTATGTGGTAGTGGTTTCGTTTTCTTTTTTGTTCTGTCTCAAGTTTTGTCAAATGGTTGTCCATAAATACAAAGCCAGCAGATGTGCTTAAAAAGGAAAGCGTGTAATGGTTTGATGTCTTTGAGGAGGAGGGTTACTTTAGACTGCCAGGTAGCTACAATGAAGAAAAATATTATAGGTAGAATATTCAGAATCTGGGTTGGTTTTTTCTTTTGCATTTTGCATGTTAATTTTTATATTCCTTTCTGTGGATGCATCTCCCTTTTACGGAATATGCGCGCATTTTAAGCTAACACCACCTAATGGGTATTTTTGCAAGCTGGAGCATAGAAGGCTCAATCTGAATATGAGGAAAAACTTTTTTACTGTAAGGGTTACAGAGCACTGGACCAGGCTGCCCAGAGAGGTTGTGGAGTCTCCTTCTCTAGAGACATTCAAAACCCACCTGGACTCATTCCTGTGCAACCTGTCTAGGTGATCCTGCTCTGGCAGGGGGGTTGGACCGGATGATCTTTCAAGGTCCCTTCCAACTCCTAGTATTCTGTGATTCTGTGTGATTTTGTGGTTTAAAATCCATCCAGAATAAATGCGCTATTTTTTCCACGGCTGCTTTCTTCAGCATAGGCAGATGTTTGTCACGCTTTACCACTCCTTCCTACCATGGCAGGTCTAGTCCTGCTACAGTATTTAATATTGCATTCGCATATATCCCTTAAAACGCTGTTTGTTGGGACTAAACGAGCATATAAAATCTCCCACTGTTTGGTAGAAATTAAGTAATCTGATGTAAAAGCCAATGAAGCAGATTTTTATTTGTGTCTGTGTGTGTTTTGTTCTTTTCCTTGCGTTTTTCATGTGCTGTATGTACTTGGCTGGAGATAATACATTCCTACGTAGTCTAGATCCAAAGGTGTCCCCTTAGTTATGTGTTCTAAATTGGTGTGGAGGGAAAATGAAGTGGTTATGTGTATTTCCTAATAAAGAGAAGGATCATAATAAGTTGTTTTGACCGTAGTGGATTGCATTAGACCAGTGTATACACTGGATCTTTTTCCACTTTGCTATCCAAGTGCTTGGTTACAGTTTGAATTCCAGAGTCATTCCCTCCAATGCCTCTGCGGAATCTTTTTTCCCTCTCAGGAGCAACTGATTATTTCGCAGTTGTATTCTAATAGCTGAGATTCCTTCCTGCCTCCGTTCCCCTGAGCATGGGTTGGACGCCTTAACTGAAGACCCAGCAGGATTCTGCAAGTTAATTTTGCCCAGAAGTGAACTGAAGTCAGAGCTGCTGTAGGTCTTTGTTGTGACAGTGACGTTCATCTAGGAAGGTTGTCAGTGTCTTGAGGAAATTTGGGAGTTTTTTTTTCCTTTTGTTAACATCCAGCATCATTTACCTTTTTGCTTTCGGGGTGTGTTATCTTTAACCTTAATAGTAGTTGGCTTAATAGTCTTTTAATACCAGTGGGTTGAGTTTGTATATTTGGCTTCCCAAAGGTAGGCTGTGATAACTGTTCGATATTATGGTAGTATCTAAAGATTGTACCCAGGTTGGGCTGTATTAGAGCATTATTCCTAAAGCTAATCATGTCTTCTACCATAGTGTTACATTTAGCAAGGTTCTGAGATGGGTGGCCTTTCATAACACGAGTTGCTGTGTGTGTCTGTACAATGATGTCCTGATAGCAAACGGTTTTTTTCAGGAAGGAGGTTGTTCTCTGTTCATGCCACATCAGCAGCCTTGAGTCACAGACCTAGTCCAGATTTAGAAAGTGTGTACTGTATTCCACCCTGCAGTTGTAATCTTTTGTGAAGAAAGAGCAAATTGAACGTGTCCCTAGCTGCTTAAACTGTAGTTCAGAAATGCTCACCTTCTCTGGAAGTTGGAGTTGTGCAGCTTTTTTAGAGACAAAACTGATTGATTTATAGGAACTTTGATCAAATGTATTGTTGGGAAGGTGAACTCTCTTGAGGCTCGAATTAATGGAAAAAGCAGGGAGAAGGAGGTTGCTTCTCCCTCCCTCAAAAAAGCTTGAGAAACTGTAGCTGCTTCTTTCATGAATCAGGCTTATATTGCACACATCATATATGTCAAGCTTTATACAATTTCTGTTATACACATGGCTCTTGCTGTACTCTGCGTGTGTATGTATGTATATATAATGTAAAAAAAATTAAATTTATTATTTCATTATACCATTCTGAGCTTTTGAGACTTGGCAGTAAGGAAAATCTTGTGTAATAACTGACACATTTAATATCTCTATTAGTTAATGGGGATCCTCAATATTTCCTGCTCTTGCTGATTAGATTAGTATGGCTGGTTTGAATTTTGTGTACTTTTCATTGGTTTGAGCTAACAGCATTGCCTTTTATAAGTCAGGATTTCCTTGTTTGTGGGTTTGTTTTGTTTTTTAAATTGGAGGCCTAGTCCTGTTGCAAATTGTGCCACTTCTGTTTGTAGCTAAAGCTTTTATAGTGTACGTTCAGTTTAAAAGATCATGAAAATGGAATATTTAATTTCAGCTATTTGTTAAGGATATAGTTTTGTGAAGGCAATACCAGCTCACTGTCAAAAATGATTCAAAGGCTGCAGATCTGAGTATTGAAATGATTGAACAAAATCAGAACAATTTTTCCTCCTCCGTAGACCTATTAGGGTAATATTTCTTGCCATGAAAATGATACTTCAAGTAACCCAATATGCAATTTTTATAACCCAATTGCACTTGATCTTAGCCAAGGGGATAAACATCTGATCCTCTCTGGAACTGGTGTCAGAGTGCCACTTGCTCGTCTCACACTAAAGCCAAGCAAGCGCTCCTTTTGGAGGAGTCCCAAAATCACACAGATCTCTCCGAGTGTTCAAAAGTGCTCACTGCTCCTATTTAAAATAGTGATATTGACATATGTGATAAGTAACTTCAACATGAAGCACCTGTATCTTACTGCTTATTGTGCTTTGTCAGATTAAAACAGATTTAAATTACAAAACTGATTTTAAAGCTGTTTTTGTGTGAGTTGGTGTTTTGGGATTTCCCAACACAAAATGTAAGATGGGAAAATGAAATTCCACATACTGCACTGAAGACTGCAGCAGTCAAGGTTATGTATGTGCTTTCTATTCTGACCAGCTCTTCATTTAATGGCTATAGTGAGTAACTGAAAAATAAAATAAAAGCTCATCTGTGCTACTATTTTGGAAAGAAAGTAAAACAAAAGATAACAAAACTAGAGAACCAAACAATCCTGTCTGCCCTCCTTATCCCACTTCTGTATTAGCTAGCAATAAAGTATTGCCCAGAAATCCCAAGTTTGGCTCCTGGGACTGAGAAGGGGTATGATCAAGGAGCATCAAAGTGCCAGGTACAAACAGGAGGGCTAAGTGTGTACCAGACTTGATTATTTGGAGCAGTAGGGTTGCTGTGTGGATGGCTTTTGCAGGAGAGATGTGGGCTCCACTCCTAGTCCTGCCAGCTGCGGGTTTGCATAACTTCTCTGTGTTATTTGCATAGTAGGAGAACGTTGCTGGATGTTGTTCCAGGGTAAGATAATGACATCTTATTTGATTTTTTTTGTTGGTTTCTTTTGTTGTTTGGTTGGTTGGTTTTTTTTTAATTTATATTACTGTGCTTTGCATATACTGAAAGAGGAGGAAAGTCAGTT